TTGTTGTTTGGCGGGTCCGGGCTGGGGATTCGAACCCGCCACCTTAGGTGTACGTGGCTGGCGCCTTAGCCAGTTGAGCTATAGGCGCCAAGCTGAGCCTCTTTTTTTTGAGACAGAGTCTCACTATGTTGTCCTCAGTAGAATGCTATGGTGTCACAGCTCACAGCAACCCCAAACTCTTGGGTTCAACCAGTTCTCTTGCCTCAGCCTCCCAAATAGCTGGGACTACCGGCGCCCGCTACAACACCCATCTATTTTTTGGTTGTAGTTGTCATTGTTGTTTGCCAGGCCCAAGTTGGATTCAAACCCACTAGCCTCGGTGTATGTGGCTGGCACCCTGGCCACTGAGCTATAGGCACTGTGCCCATTATTCTTGTTTCTTCAATTATCAAGTAAATTTAAACAGTAAGAAATATCTCAAACATCTGCCTACATAGTCACCACTTCTGGTTTCTCCTGTCTTCCTGCAGATCTGTTTCCACCCTGTCCTATCAGAAGTTTTTTTTTTTTTTTTTTGAGACAGTCTCAAGCTGTTGTCTGGGTAGAGAGTGTCATGGTGTCATGGCTCACAACAACCTCCAACTCTTGAGTTCAAATGATCCTCTTGCCTCAGTTTTTTCTGTTTTTAGTAGAGATGGGGGTCTTGCTTTTGCTCAGGCTGGTCTCAAACTCGTGAGCTCAAGCTATCCACCCACCTCGGCCTCCCAGAGAGCTAGGATTACAGACGTGAGCCACCGTGCCCAGCCTGCATGTTGTGTTTAATGCAGCTGTGATACCTTTAAATGTTCTTTTCCACCAACTCTGTCATCTGTGTCACTTTGAAGTCAGTTGTGACTGATTGATTTTTATTTTCACTCTAGATTATTTTTCTTGGATTTTTTTTGCATGCTTGATAATTTTACTAAATTTTTTAAAATTTTTTATTAAATCATAACTTTGTACATTGATGCATTAATGTGGTTCAGGGTACAGCTTTGATATACAATGTGGAATGCTTACATTGAACTAAGTAACACATCCATCACAATTATACTCATTTCTTAATAGTTTTGAAATGTACCATAGCATCATGCACCTTAGGTGAGGTGCCCCCAGATACCCTCCCTCCTCCTGTATACCCCCTCCCCTTCCCTCTCTCTCCTCTTTCCTTCTACTTTCTGGACTATAGTTATGTTTTGCCATTTGTATGAGTGTATAGGTGATTATACATTGATTTCATAGTAGTATTGAGTACATTGGATACTTTGTTTTCCATTCTTGAGATACTTTACTAAGAAGAATATGTTCCAGCTCCATTCAGGTAAACATAAAAGATGTGAAGTCTCCATCTTTTTGTGGCTGCATAGTATTCCATGGTGCACATATACCACAATTTGTTAGTCCATTCAAGGGTTGATGGGCACTTGGGCTGTTTCCATGTCTTAGCTATTAAGAATTGGGCTGCAATAAACATTCTGGTGCAAATGTCTTTGTTGTAAAATGATTTTTGATCATCTGGGTATATACCTAGTAGAGGGTAGGTGTACTTTTAGTTACTTGAGTGTTTTCCAAACTTCTTTCCAAAAAGATCATATTAGCTTGCATTTCCACCAGCAGTGTAGAAGCATTCCCTTCTCTCTGCATCCACACCAACATCTAAATTTTTAATTTGAAATAATTATAGATTTACATCAAGTTACACAGAGTAGAGAGCTCTCATATGCCTTTAACAAGTGTCCCCACATGATGACATCTAAGTATAGCACAATATACACACCAGAATATTGACATGGTCAATCCACAGACTTCACCTTTGGTTTCAACAATTTTAAACATATTTGTGGGGCATGTACAGCTTTCTCGCATGTGTGGATTTGCGTAACTGTCACCATAATTGAGACACAGAACTGCTCTTGTACCTCAAAGACCCCTGTGCTTCTCCTTTCTCTGTGCCAGGCCCGGCTCACTCCAGCTCCTGCTCCCATTCCCATTTGCAATCCTGTAAGCCACTAATCCCTTCTGCTTCTCTACAATCTTGTCATTTTGAGAGTGTCATGTAAATGGAATCATATAGCATATGACCTTTTAAGATTTGTTTTCTTCCCCCACTCAGCATAATTCTCTTGAGATTCATCCATGTCATCAGCTGTTGCATGTGGCACTAGGCTACTCCTTTTCACGGCTGAGAAGTGTCCGTGTCTGTAGAGCACCTGTGCCCCAGTTTGTTTAAACACTTGCCCACTGAAGGATATCTGGCATGTTTCCCATTTGGGGCTATAACAAAAAAGATGCCATGAACATTTCTGTGCACATTTTTGTGTGAACATGGTTGTCATTTTACTGGGATAAATGTGGGGTCCTGTGATTGTTGAGTCACAGAATAAATACATGCTTAGTTTGAGAAACTGCCCAGTGGCTGTGCCTTCTCATGTGCCACACACAGGGTCCAGTTTCTCTGCATCCTTGCCAGTGTTCAGTAGAGTCCTATTTTCATTTCAGCTGTCCTAATAAATAGGTGATGATGTTGAATGAACACCCCTTGTGTGTTTATTTGCTGTCATTATATCCTCTTCAACAAATTTTTCTTTGTGTCCTTGGCTCACTTTATAACTGAAATGTATGTTTTATCTTTTTTTTTTTTTTTTTTTAGAGACAGAGTCTCACTTTGTCACCCTTGGTAGAGTGCCATGGCATCACAGCTCACAGCAACCTTCAACTCCTGGGCTCAAGTGATTGTCCTGCCTCCACCTCCCAAGTAGCTGGGACTATAGGCGCCCACCACAATGCCTGACTATTTTTGTTGTTGTTGCAGTTGTCATTATTGTTTGGAGTGTTCGGCTGGATTCGAACCCCCCAGCTCAGGTGTATGTGGCTGGCGCCTTAGCCGCATGAGCCACAGATGCTGAGCCATGAAATGTATGTTTTATTTACTGTTGAGATTTAAGAGTTGTTTGCATATTCTAGGCATGTCCTTTGTCAGCTACATGGTTTACAAGTGTTCACTACACATCAGTGGGCCTGTCTTTCTTCTACTTACCAAGGTTTTTTGAAGAGCAAAAATTTCACATTTTGATGAAGTTTAGTTTATTGATTTGTTTTTCTTTTTGAATGATGGTTTTGGTATCATGTCTAAGAATTTTTCATCAAGTCCTAGGGCACAAAGACTTTCTCCTATTTGTTCTTTTAAAAGTTTTATAGTTTTACACTTTGTATTTAAATCTATAATCCATTTTGAGCTAGCTTTTTATAGGGCATGAGGATTAGGTCAAGGTCCACCTCTTTGCCTTGGGAAATCCAACTGCTCAAGCACCAGGTATGGATGAGACTACCCTCCCTGGCATCTGATGTGTCCCACAGACACCCCGACGCTGCTGCTCTTCTATAGCCTCTGTTCCTGTAACTGACCCACTAGCCCTCCTGACCACCATGGCCTCCATGCACCAGCTCTGCTGGAAAATCTCAGCACTCTCAAGTTCCCACCGACCATTAACTATGCTGCCACCTTGGTCCTGCCCTACCCTGCCAGCCCAGGATGGATGACCCACTGCAGGCAAGTGCAGAGAAGAGAGCTAGACAGGCCAGTGGCAGTATCCAGAGGAAGAGAGTCTGGGGTGGGCACATGGCCCAGGGCAAAGCCTCTGGTGTTGGGTAGTGGAGGTAGGGATGTGTCACAGAACTGAGGCAGGTCCTACAATTGCCAGGCAGCATCTCACCTTCATAGATTTGGGTGGGATGTGGGTGGCAGTGGGGGTGGGGGACACAGTGACCAAGATGGGCAAGGGACTGGTTCAAGTTGTTTAAAGGAAATTAAGGAAGAGGCACTTTGTGACCCATTTCCCCAGCTGCTGCTCTCACAGGCTACAACAGCTTCATCTGACCCTGCCTCCTGGGCCCAGGCACCTATGTCCCCAGCCTGGCCCAGGGCAGACAAATCTTTGTCATTTCTGAAGAAGTTCCAAGGCTCTAGGGAGAAGGGTAGGACTCAGGTTCTCAGGAGAAACAGGAAGAGTGCTGAGAGTCAGGGCCAGCTGGGTGACCAGCATCTGTGTCCTCGTCTACCTGTACAACAGGAACATCACTTCCTCAGGTGGACAGGACCACTGAGGGGATGACAGAGAGCCCAGCACAGGGCACTGGGGAAAGTGGGAAGCAGCTGTTATCTCTCTGGTGCACTGACAACTACAGTTTTTAAGTTAGGACTTCTGGGTCCTAACTCCACGGTGGTCAGGAGGGCTAGCGGGTCAAGGGAATAGGACCAGAAAGGCTAGGGACTAGCTGTGCCACCTGGGCTCCCCACCAGGGAGGTGGAGAGAATGAGCTGGGACCTGCATAGGTATGAGTCCACCTGTCCTGCACCTGCCCAGCTCCACTCTTGCCCCTGACTGCCCTGGACCTGACTCAGATGCACCTGCGGGATCGGCACCCGCCTGACGCCGCAAACTGCACGTCCCACAGTTGCCCCGCAGTGCTCCTGTCCTGTCCCAGACCTGTCCTGCAATGCTCCCATCCCATCCCCCACTTGCCCTGGAATGCTCCTGTTCAGTCCCGCACCTGCCCCAGGTGCTCCCGTCCCCTCTCCACCTGCTCTGGAGTGCTCCCGTCGTCCGCGTACACCCGGGGATCTGCTCCGAGCTTCAGAAGCACTTCCACAGCTTCCAGGTGGCCCCCAAAGGCTGCTCGGTACAATGGTGTCCTACCGTAGGCGCCCTGCGGGAGCGGCTGTCTGAGTTAGACACCAGCTCCGCTCTGCCCAGAGGAGGCCGACCGCCGGCCCTTGGACCGCACCCCTGGGTGCTCAAGTCCCAGAGCCCACGGTGCCCACCTTGCTGTTGGGGCTGGCGCCGAGCTCGGCCAGTAGCTGGATGGCCCGTGCCTGCCCGCCAGCGGCTGCCTCTGACAGCGGTGTGTTCCCGTTGCTGTCCTCACACTCCACCATGGCCACGCGCCGCTGCAGCCGCCGCGCCTGGCCGGCATCGTCGTGGCCTACACCCTCGCGGGTCAGCAGCTGCTCCACCTGCGCCACCCAGCCGGGTCCCCTCAGCCAAGCCCTTCTCCA